TATGTTTAATTATTTAATTAAATATAATGCTTAATTACCAAAATTATTCCGAACGTAAACGGTACGTCGAAAATAAATTTCGGTAATCTCGACGGAAATTAATTAATTCCGAAAATGAAAAACATTAACATTATTATCTCGGAACTAAAACATAATTTATACTGATACAATATCGGGATATTACAATCCTCCCTCCTTACAAAATTTCCGTCCTCGGAAATTCAAAACATGACTGATAATACATGAACTATGTACATAGGATAAAGGAATATGTAAATCAAAACTGAAAATCTGGAAAACGTGCGCGAATATCAGACTCCTCCTCTCAAGTAGCTCCGTGGCGATCCCACTGAATACGCACGAGGGGAATATCTCGCTTCCGGAGCCGACGAATCTGACGGTCTAGTACAGCTACCGGTCGCTCCTCGTACGATAGATCTGGCTGAACCTGAATATCCGTGAGAGGAATGACATGATCGGGGTCGCACACGTACTTACGTAACATAGATGCGTGGAAAACATTATGAATGCCTGATAACTCGGGAGGTAGGGCTAATCGATACGCGACCTTGCCTACTCGCTCGAGAACCTCGAACGGACCGATGAAACGAGGGTGCAGCTTCCCTCTCTTTCCGAATCGTACAACTCCACGAATCGGACGAACTCTGAGAAAGGCTGGCTCGCCAACCTCGAACTGAATGTCTCGTCGATGATGATCGGCGGAAGATTTCTGTCGACTCTGAGTTGTCCTAAGTCTCTGCCGGATCAACTCGACCTGCTCCGCTGTCTCCTCGATCATCTTAGGACCGAGTACTCGCCGCTCTCCGACGTCATCCCAATAGAGAGGGGAACGACACTTGCGACCATAAAGTGCTTCGTAAGGAGCCATCTGAATGGAAGAATGATAGCTATTGGTATACGCGAACTCTGCGTACGGCAACAATGACTCCCACTTAGCACCCCTGTCAACAACCAAAGCGCGAAGCATATCCTCAAGTGTCTGAATAGTCCGCTCTGACTGACCGTCCGTCTCTGGATGGTAGGCTGAACTGAACTCTAGCTTCGTGCCCATCGCCTCATGTAAATTGTGCCAGAATCGACTGACGAATCTGGGATCTCTGTCTGATACGATCGTGACGGGCACTACGTGAAGTCGAATGATCCCACGGGTATATATCTCAGCCAACTTGTCCAGAGACATCTTCATCGAAACGGGTAAGAAATGTGCAACCTTAGTCAATCTGTCGACCACGACCCAGATAGCGTCGTGATGTTCAGACGACCTCGGTAATCCCGTGACGAAATCCATCATGACTTCCTCCCACTTCCACCTCGGAATCGGCAGTTGCGGTAGGAGGCCGATCGGACTCTGATGTTCGGCTTTGACTTATTGACAGGTAAGACACCTCCTGACAAACTCGGCGACGTCCTTCTTCATACCTCGCCACCAGAACGACCCTTTCAGGTCGTGATACATCTTCGTGCTCCCGGGATGGGCCAGATAGGGTGCGGTATGTGCCTCTGATAGAATCTCCTTCCGCAACGCCTCGACCTTCGGGACCACGATCCTGCCTCTGAACTCTAAGGCACCATTGGCACCTAGCTAAAAATCCATGACGCCTCCGGCGCGAACCTTGGCCTCCATGACACGAACAAACTCGTCAGAAGCCTGCTCTCGCCGGATTCTTTCTCTCAGCATCGGCTGAAGCTGCATAGCACTGATACTGGCACTGGTACTCCCCGAAACAGCTATGGGAAGTGCATCGATCGCCTGAAGCTGCATCCGGGCAAACTCCTGAATCAACGGACTCTGCTGAGTAATGACGTACGTCAAGTCACCCTTCACCTTTCGGCTTAGGGCATCCGCGACAACGTTCGCCTTTCCCGGATGATACTGAATAGAGCAGTCGTAATCCTTAACAAGTTCGAGCCAACGGCGCTGCCTCATATTAAGCTCCTTTTGTGTGAAGATGTACTGCAGGCTCTTATGATCTGTGAAAATCTCGCAACATCCGCCGTAAAGATAATGTCGCCAGATCTTGAGAGCATGTACGACTGCTGCTAACTCCAAGTCGTGCGTAGGATAGTTCTGCTCATGAGGCTTAAGCTGACGTGAAGCATACGCAACGACCTGGCCGTCCTACATAAGGACACATCCAAAGCCTTGTCTCGAAGCATCGCTGAAGATAGTGAAACTCCGAGAAGGATCGGGAATAGTCAACACCGGTGCTGAATTTAATCTCCTCTTGAGCTCCTGAAAGCTCGCCTCACATCGATCAGTCCACTCGAACTTCACAGACTTCCTCGTTAGCTGGGATAGAGGGAGGGCAATCTTAAAGAAGCCCTCGATGAACCTGCGATAGTACCCTGCTAGACCGAGAAAACTGCGAACCTCGGATGGACTCCTCGGTGTCGACCAGTTCTGAACGGCTGAGACCTTAGAAGGATCCACCTCGATACCTACCTGAGTAATCACATGACCCAGAAAGGATACTCGCTGGAGCCAGAACTCGCATTTGGAGAATTTGGCGTACAACTTTTCTCGTCTGAGGGTTTCGAGAACCACCCTCAGATGCTCCTCGTGCTCCTTCTGGCTCTTCGAGTAGATAAGAATATCGTCAATAAAGACAATGACAAACTGATCAAGGTAGGGACAGAAAATACGGTTCATGAGGTCCATGAAAACAGCTGGCGCATTGCTGAGACCGAAAGGCATGACGATAAACTCGTAATGGCCGTAACGAGTCCTGAAAGCGGTCTTAGCAATATCTGACTCCTTAATCTTCAGCTGGTTGTAGCCTGATCGCAAATCAATCTTTGAGAATACACAGGCTCCCCTCAACTGATCAAATAAGTCGTCGATCCTGGGAAGCGGGTACTTGTTCTTGATCGTCAACCGGTTAAGATCCCGGTAGTCGATACACATGCGCATGGATCTGTCCTTCTTCTTAACAAAGAGAACGGGTGCTCCCCAAGGTGACACGCTCGGTCGGATGAAACCGAGTCGTAATAACTCCTGAATCTGGGTCTTAAGATCCTGCAATTCCTTAGGTGCCATACGATATGGGGCTTTGGATACTGGACCGGCCCCTGGAATGAGATCAATAGAAAACTCCACCTGACGATTAGGCGGTCCTCTTGGAAGCTCGTCTGGGAATACATCCACAAACTCGCGAACAATTGGAACATCATGAGGTGTTCGCGCTTTTTGAGAATCCTCGACAAGGCTGACCAGATAACCCTGGCAGTTGCCTCGTCGTAGTAACTTAGTGGCTTTCGCCATCGAAACAACATGAGGCAGTGAACGAATCCTGGAACCGAAGAAAGTGATCGATTCGTCTCCCGGAAGATAGAGAGTGATCTCCCGGTCATGACACCTGATGTCTGCATGATAGAAGGATAGCCAATCCATTCCGAGAATAAGGTCGAAGTCCCTCATCTCGAGAACAAATGCGTCGGCAGTCAATACTCGGCCACCGACTGAAAGGCTAAGGTCTGAGGCTTTAGCTGAGGTTACTATCTTTCGTCCCGAGGCTAAACTCACCTCGAGAGGATCAACAGCGGTAACGGCGTGAACTCTGATGGCATCGAGACATCGTCGTGAAATGAAAGTATGTGTTGCTCCAGTATCGAATAAAGCAAACACAGGAATATCATTGAGAACAACCATCCCTGACATAGTACCTAGCTGTTGTGCTGCCTCTGCCTGATCGACCGTGTAAACCCAGGCCTGCTGTCTGCCCCTCTGCTGCTGCTGCTGCTGAGGCGGTCTCTGTGCCTGCTGACGTGGCTACTGTTGCTGTGGTGGCTGCTGAGGCTGCTGCTGAAGTCTCTTCGGACAGCGACTTGCAAAATGTCCCGGCTCAAGGCAGTAATAGCATATGTCCTGTCCCACGTGGCACTCTCCCCGATGAAGTCGACCACAAGTCGGGCACGGTGGAATTGGCTGTTGTCTCTGTCGGGTCCTCCGGTCAGTCTGTGCACCTTTTCCCTTCCTCTTCTTCTCCTTGGCCGACTGAGGGGCTGGTAGAGCTGGTGGAGCTGCAAATGGTTGCACTGGAGCAGATGGCTGGGCACGATCACGAACTGCCTCCCTCCTGATGCTAGCGTCCACCTCCTGGGCGATAGAAACGTCACGAGCGTATGTCTGAGTCCCGTGTCCTACGATGTTGTGACGGACTGCTGGGAAAAGCCCGTCAATGAACCGCTGCGCTCTCTGGCCCTCCATGCGAACCAAGTCCGATGCGAAAGCTGCAAGTCTAGTGAACTCTCGCTCGTACTCATTAACAGTACGAGTGCCCTGTTGAAGCGCTAAGAACTGACGCTCCATCTCTGCACGATAGTAGGAAGGGTAGTACTTATCGCGGACTAGCTCCTTGAACATGTCCCATGTACAACCCGCTTTTTCACCAGGACGCATGCTCCAGTAGGCATTCCACCAGAGCCTTGCATCACCAGTGAGCTGAAGCTGAGCGCAAACTACGCGATACCTATCGGGGCATTCCATAACCTCAAAGATAAACTCTAAGCCCTGAATCCATTCATCTACGATGCGGGGATCTCCCTGCCCTGAGAACTTTTCGGCGTGATAGTCGCGGAACTGAGCGACTACCGTAGCCTGAGTAGGAGCCTGATGATCGGGTTTCCTATGTGGCGGCATCTGAACATTGAAAAACTTTTAACATTACTGAATACATGATAACATTCTGACTGATTACTAAGGCACACAAATCTCTTGACGAGTCGCCAAAAGTGGCCGATAAATACTGACATGAAGCCTGAGGAACTCTAGAGTCATATCGAAAGATACTAAAGTCTAGAGTCATATCTGAATGCTTGAATCCTAGAGTCATGTCCGAACTCTAAAGTCTGAACCTGATTCGAGCATCTTAACTAAAGTCCCGATCCTTAATTCTGAGCATAGACAAAGTAATATGTTTATAACTGAAAAACTGAATCAGCACTTACCTGTCGTCGGCGGGCCGTGAGCATGACGGTTCAGGTTTTTCTGAAAAATTACTGACTGAAAATCTTTTCAGAGACGCAGAAACGTGCTCTGATACCAATTGTAACACCCCTCCTTATCGTAAATCAGAGTGCGCAAAAATTCGCAAAGTCTTTTAAAAATAAAGCCTCTTATTTTGCGAAAGCTGATTAGGGGTGCTACCTTAAAATCGTGACTTAATTTGGAAAACCGTTATTAAATCTTAATAAAATCGTTCGGGTACTGAAAGCATAAGTTCCCAAAAGTTTGTCAAATATAAGTTCGTCAAAATATGAGTACGTCAAAAGTCATCAAAACATCATTAAAAGTCATCAAAAACATCATTAGCGGAAGCGTAAGTCATCATCATAAATATACAGTCAAAATACAAATATCCTGAAGCCTCCGTCACGTCACGTCACGCTCCCGGCCCGACATCCTGACCTGAAAAACATGATAAAAGTGGGAAATGAGCACTATGGCACTGTGCTCCGTGGAAACTCATACTAATGTAAACATTGATAATAATGACAACATCATGATATCGGTATATACATAAGCTCAACCTCAACCTCAAGCCGGTAATAACATGAACATGAATCTGAAATCGTCACGCAAACGTGACCCTGACCGTTACCTCATCTGCCGGCAAAGCCGGACACCATGTGCACACTCTAGTGGGCAGACTAGGGCCACTAGAACCCATAATGGACCGGCGACCATTCCGAGCGGATACCTCAACTGAAATACATACCTCAAACATGGTACTGTAATTATAATCAATGTAGTACGTAGTCTGAGTCCCCACCTGAACTGCTGAACTGAGCGGTAGTGCTGATGCCTGATCAAACTGAAAATAATATAAAAAATTACTAATGACTATGCTCAGATCATTAACTTAACTGATTAATATCGTTAAGATGCCCTACTGAACCTGACATGATACTTAGACTTAACCGGAATAACCGGAGCTGAACTGACATGAACTGATCAGACATGAATTTCCTGAACTGAAATAATCTCAGAAATTTAACTGAAAATATCATTAGAATCATGAACCGGGCTGAATACTTAACATATAAACCGAACTGGTTCAAAAATGGGGCTGAACCGGTCCAGCCGGTCTGAACCGGTCTGGACCGGACTGCGGTTCGACCGAACCAGCAGTCGGCTGGGCTCGGCCAGCAGCCTGCCGCGTGTTGCGCGTAGCGTGCACG